GACCTTGACCATGACCTTGACCATGACCTTGACCATGACCTTGACCATGACCTTGACCATGACCTTTACCATGACCTCCACCATGACCTCCACCATGACATCCACCACGACCTCCACCCTGACCTCCACCACAGCTTTTACCATGACCTCTACCATGACCTCCACCATGACTTCCACCATGACCTCCACCATGACCTCCACCATGACCTCTACCGTGACCTCGTTGCAGGGAATTTGGCGCCAAATGCAGCAAGTGTTCGCGCAACATACAGTCTAGCGACTGGGTGCGGCGAGCTAAGAGTCACGTCTACCACCTCGCCTGCTTCGCGTGCGATAGCTGCAAGCGACAGCTGAGTACGGGCGAGGAGTTCGCGCTGCAGGACGACAAGGTGCTCTGTAAGACTCACTATCAGGAGTCGATGGACGCGGGAAGCCTCGACAAGAGCCGTGAGTACTGACGCGTTGTCATGGTTACTACTCGTTAATATTTATTCATTTTTTTTCATTTTTGTTTTGTTTTTATTTTGTTGATGTGCTGTATTTATGTATCTGTTTAGTTTTTCTCGCTTTTATTTATTTGGTAATTGAGTACAGTCACTCATAAATAACACAAATAAATCAAGCATGATTTACTATGTAAATAAATAAATAAATAAATAATATACATATATATATATATACTTACTAAGGTAGTATATACATACTATATAAATAGTATTATTATAAATACTACACACGCTATTACCAACTATTATCGGAATACGTTACCGTACGAAATACAAGAGAAATATGAGAATCAATTTTGCACAGAAAGTTCCCAGTCTGACATCAAGATTGCGGCGAGAAGGGGCGACGAGGAATTAGTGACCATCTTATATTGATTCATAGACCCTGCAGTAAGCTGACCTCGCTAACTCGCAATCAGTCCCACAACGTGTGTCACCTACAGCGTCCACCGCCCTGTACGCATAACGCGCTGCACCANCCCCCTCCCCCTCCCCTCTATCTCCCCTCTCCCTTTCCTCCTCCCCTACCCTCTTCCCCTCTCCCTCCCCTCCTCCTGCCCTCCCTTCCCTCCCGCATACATTACGGAGGACTAAGCCGCTGCTGTCGTTGCAACATGAAGATTTATTCTGCTGCCGCTCGCTCGTTTGTTTGTGGATGTCGCAACAAATTCGATGATCGACTGGCCATGCAGAAGGGTCGGCCTGTTTGTGTAGCTCTACCTAATCAGAAACATCAACAACACCGACTGAGCGGAGAGAGAGGGGGAGAAGGGGGAGGGGGAGAGAGGGGAAGGGAGAGAGGGGAGAGGGGGGAAGAGAGAAAGGGGAGAGATAGAGATAAAAAGAGAGAAAGAGAGAGAGAGAGAAGAGAGAGGAGAGGAGGGGGAGAAGGAGGGAGGGGAAGAGGAGGGGAGAGGAGGGGAGGCGAGAGAGGGAGGGGAGGAAGGAGGAGGAATGAGGAAAGGACATGGGAGAGAGAGGGGAGAAAGGGAGAGATAGCGAGAGAGGGAGAGAGAGAGGGGAGTGGGTAGGGAGAGAGGAGGAGAGAGAGAGAGAAGAGAGAGGAGAAGAGAGAGAGAGAGAGAGAGAGAGAGGAGAGGCGAGAGAGAGAGAGAGAGAAAGAGCAGAGATGGCAGAGAGAGAGATGAGGAGGGAGAGAAGAGAGAGAGAGAGAGAAGCGAGAGAGCAGAGAGAGGAGAGATGAGAGAGAGAGATGAGGGAGAGAGAGAGAGGAGGAGGGAGGAGAGAGAGAGAGAGAGAGAGAGGAGGGAGGGAGCTAAAGTTATGATTTATGCTATCATTAACTTCACGACAGTGACATCACTGAAACCACACAACAACAATACCAACAACAACAAACAACAACAACAATAATAAAAAGACAACATGCCAACAAGAAACAACAACAACATCAACCATAACAAAAACAACGAACAACAGCGCAGCAGCAACACACAGCGGCAGCAGCAACAGCAACAGCAACACACACTAACATACACATACACACGCGCACACACGGCACACACACACACACACACACACAGCACCACACACAGCATACACATACCACGCGCACCAACCCCCCCACCCGCCACACACACACACACACCACATCACATCACAACACACACACACATATCACCATACACACGCGCACACACGCGCGCGCACACAAGCACACACACACACACACACACACACACAGCCACCACACACTCCGTCCGTCTCTCTCTTCACCCCATGCTCTCTCTCTCTCCTCTCGTCTCTTCTCTCTCTGCTCTCCTCTCTCTCTCTCTCATCTCTCTCTGTCCTCTCTGGCTCCTGCTCTCTCTGCTCTTTCTCTTCCCTCCCTATCTCCGCTCTCTCTCTCTCTCTCTCTCTCTCCTCTCTCTCTCTCGCTCTCTCTCACTCTACTCTCTCTCCTCACTCTTTTCTCTGCTCTCTCTCTCCCTCGTCTTCTCTCTCTCTTCTTACTCTCGCTCTCTCTCCCTCCCTCCCTCTCTCTCTCCTCCCTCTCTCTCCTCCCCTCTCTCTCTCTCTCTCTCCCTCTCTCTCTCTCTCTCTCTCTCTCTCGTACTCTCGCTCTCGTCTCCCTCCTCTTCTCTTCTTTCTCTCTTCTCCTCTCTCCTCTCTCTGCTCTCCTCTCTCCTCTCTCTCTCTCATCTCTCTCTCTCTCAGTCTCTCTCTCTCTCTCCTTCCTTTTTGTCTGGACCTACGCTATGGTCTTTGTCCGCCCTGCTGACGTTTATCCTACCAGGGCTTCCCCGCCACATCAGTACCGTATTCCACACACACACAACCACGCGGGAGGGGGATATTTAGCCCGCAGGCATGTATTTCATTCTCTCCTTCTCTCCTCCTCAGCCTGTTCTCTCTCTCCCCTTCGCCCTGAAGGGAGCGCACACAGTCGACAATATGACCCCCGAGGGGGCGCTGCGACATATATATATATATTATTGTATATGTATATGTAATGTATATGTATATGTATTATATTGTAATGTTTTAACGTATTATTTTTTGTTTATGTTTATGTATTGTTTATGTATTATGTATATGTATATGTATATGTATATGTTATGTGTATGTGTATGTGTATGTATATGTTAATTATGTATATGTTATATGTATATGTATATGTGTATGTATATGTATATGTATTGTGTATGTATATGTATACTGTATATGTATATGTATATGTATATGTATATGTATAGTGTATTGTTTTATATTGTTAATTAATGTGTGTATATGTATATATGTATTATGTATATGTATATGCATATGTATATGTATATGTGTATATGTATTATGTATAAATGTATATATACATATACATGTATATATATATATACACACACACCACTTATATACATATAGTTATTTATTAAATTATATTTATTTATTACATTTCTTCTCTTACTCGCTCTTACAGTCTGAACACGCCTGCGCGCTCTCCCTCTCCCTCTCTCCCCCTCCCTCCCTCTCTTCCTCTTCCCCCTCCCTCCTCCCTCTTCTCTCTTCTCTCTCCTCGCTCCTCCTCCTATCCTGCTGCGTACTCTCCGCTGCGGGAGCGAGAGCGGTGAGAGGTAAATTGAGTTATCACTGTCGCGACAATTAGTGGCTAGATTGTCGCGATCTGCTCGCTCGCGTACACGCCCACCTATTAACAACACCTCCTGCGATGTACGCTGTCTCCCTGTGTGTGGTGTGTGTGTGTGTGTGTGTGGCGTGTGTGTGTGTGTGGTTGTGTGTGTGTGTGTGCGTGTGTGTGTGTGTGTGTGTGTGTGTGTGTGTGTGTGTGTGTGTGTGTGTGTGTGTGTGTGTGTGCAGGGGCAGCAGCAGCAGCAGCAGCACCACCACTACCAGCAGCAGCGGCACCGAGCAGCAGCACATACCAGCAGCAGCGGCACCACCACCACCACCAGCAGCAGCAGCAGCAGCAGCAGCAGCAGCAGCACCAGCAACAGCACAGTAGCAGCAACAGCAGCAGCAGTAGCAGCAGCAGCAGCAGCACCACCAGCCAGCAGCACGACCACCACACGACCACCACGACCACCACCACAGAGCAGCAGCAGCAGCAGCAGGCAGCAGCAGCACAGCAGCAGCAGCAGCACCAGCAGTAGCAACAACAGCAGCAGCAGAGTAGCAGCAGCAGCACCCACCACCACCACCAGCAGCAGCAGCAGCAAGCAACAGCAGTAGCAGCAGCACACAACCGGCACCACACCACCACCACCAGCAGCAGCAGCAGCAGCACCACCAGCAGCAGCAACAGCAACAACAGAAGCAGCAGTAGCAGCAGCAGACCAGCAGCAGTACAGCAGCACAGCAGGCAGTAGCAGCAGCAGCAGCAGCAGTAGCAGTAGCACTAGCAACAGTAGCAGTAACAGCAGCAGCAGCAGTAGCAGTAGCAGCAGCAGCAGCAGCAGCAGCAGTAGCAGTAGCAGCAGTAGCAGCAGTAGCACTAGCAACAGTAGCAGTACAGCAGCTGCAGCAGCGCAGTAGGCATAGCAACAGCAGGCAGCAGCAGCAGTAGCAGCAGCAGCAGCAGCAGCAGCAGCAGTAGCCACCAGCAGCAGCAGTAGTAGTAGCAGCAACAGCAGCAGTGCAGCAGCAAGCAGCAGCAGCAGCCAGCATTAGTAACAACAGCGGATAAACGTGTTATCTAATGAATCACTAACGAAGTTACGCACGCTGAATTAGCCAGCTAGTTGTGTGAAGAGAGAGGCGATGGGTCAGACAAACAGATAATATTAAACAAGCACCCACAGCGACAAGTGTTGCCCAGGCCCCCGTTCATTTCTTAAACGGAATTTCGTTTTATTTAGGCAGAGAAAAATACAACATAGAGACTATGCTTATACTATATACTGCATAAACTAAACACACACACACACAATACTATACACAAACGAGACATACCACGTACTAGCGGATATGTACACATACTATAACTGCACACACACACACACACAGCCACACAACACACACACACACACACACCACACACACACACACACACACACACACACACACAACACACACACACACATACAACACCACACACACGCACAGACACAAATACACACACACACACACACAAACACACACACACAACACCACGCACCCCCACACACACATCGCACACACACACACACACACACACACACACACCACACACACACACACACACACACACACACATATATATATATATATATATATATATATATATATATATATATATATATACCTATCTCCTCCCGCGCCTCCCTAGGGAACAGATGGGCTGCTACTTGTCAGTGCTGCTGTTATTGTAGATAATTAGTGATGGCAGAGCTGTGAGTAATTGACCGTTAATCAGTGACCGGGGGCTCACGATCAGCGGGGTAGGCATCGCGGGGGGGGGGCGGATGGGAAAGGGTTAAACCCCCGTGCGTGCGTGCGTGCGTGCGTGCGTGCGTGCGTGCGGGGGGCTAAGAGCTAGCGGTTAATAGCGGTACCACGCGTGCGTGTGTGTGCGTGCGTGTGTGCGTGTGTATGTGTGTATGTTGTGTGTGTCGTGGTGTGTGTGTGTGTGTGTGTGATGTGTGTATTGTGTGTGTGTGTGTGTGTGTGTGTGTGTGTGTGTGTGTGTGTGTGTGTGTGTGTGAGTGTTGTGTGTGTGTGTGTGTGTGTGTGTGTGTGTATGTGTGTGTGTGCGTGTGTGCGTGTGTAGTGTGTATGTGTGTGTGTGTGCTGTTGTGTGTGTGTGGCGTGTGTGTGTGTGTGTGTGTGTGTTGTGTGTGTGTGCTCTTTGTTATGTGACACGAGTGTTGTATTAGCATAAAATGTTAATGTTAGCATAATGCTGTTGTAAGTGTTGTAGTGTTACACAACACTGCATAGCATATACGGCATGCGACATATTCCACAGATCTCACGCATATATACCATATATACCACACATATATATAATTACATATATATACGTGTGTGTTTGTATATTTATTTATTTATTTGTATATACACACGAGTAAATCATCCATTATTATTATCGCTATTTGTTATTCTTACTCCATATTATTCGATATTAATATTATATATATAATATAATATAATATATATGTATATATACCGCATAATAATATAAATGTTAATATAAACAATAATAACAACACAAAAGAAATTGAAATTTGTTTCCCACCATTTTTCAACTTCTGACCTCTGACCTTTGACCTCTGACTTCTGACCTTTGCAGCGGGCAGCGCCGACAGCGGCGGCAAGTCGAAGACGAAGCGCGTTCGGACGACGTTTACCGACGAACAGCTGCAGGTGCTGCAAGCCAACTTCTCCCTAGACTCGAACCCTGATGGCCAGGACCTGGAGCGCATCGCCCAGATCACGGGCCTCAGCAAGCGGGTGACCCAGGTGTGGTTCCAGAACTCCCGCGCCAGACAGAAGAAACATCAACAGGGACATATAGGTGCGAGACAACAACAACAACAGCAGCAGCAGCAGCTGAGCCTTAGCGGCGGGTCGTCCCCCACAGGTAGGGTTGCCCGTGACATACGTCACCGCCGACGCGGTGACGTCATCGGCTGCGCAGGAGCGGTGACGTCATCGGCACGGCCGCCGGGACGTGGGTCCGCTAACAAACGGCGACGGCGCCTAACATCGGTGGCTAACACATGACTGAGGTGGTGACGGTGGTGGTGGTGACGTCATCGGTAGTGATGACGTCAGTGATTAACATTTGTTGATACGTAGATAGATAGCGTGAGATAGCAGCGCCTCTCGCGGTCGCGATCGCATGTGATAATCTACGGGTTTCTTTATCTCGAGTTAATTATATATATATATATATATACTTTTATATATTTATATATATATATATATATATATATATATATATATATATATAGTTATATATATCCTTATTTATTATTTTAAATAATTAAGAAATGCGCACTAGTAATATCCCACACCTTGTCTAATTATGAGAGATTTTATATTACTTCTCGCGGTATCAGCGCAGCAACGTTACTCTATTGTCATTAAAATTACGTAAAGCTGTTTTAATAATTAAATTGATAGATAAATAAATAAATAAATAAGTAAACAACTAAATATATAAATAGATAAATAAATATAAAATAAATGAGTCTCCAGCAAGGTGGCCATCTTTAACGATGACGTCACTTCCATGACGACGCGTCATTACTAGCACGCGGTATCCATAATCCCGACCACACAGACACACACCAACGACCTCACTCCCCGACGATGACGTGTACCGGAAGCTGGTTGATCAGACGCCTCACTCAATAAAACATGGAAAGCTCATGAATTAGACATTTTCCCTCTGTAGCAGGGCTATCCGGGTCACGGCTGTGGTACGGGATTTAATTAAATCACAGGTGAATACTCGGTAATTAACAAGGAAAAGATCGGCGAATAATGACAGCCTAGTTTTATTCTCTGCTTCTCTTTCTTTGTGGGTAGAAGACGATAAATGTTTTTTTTATACGGCTGAGAGATATTTGTGATGAATTCGTGAAACGGTCTCAGAACAGCGGTATTTCCGCATGTTTAGCATTTGTAACGAGAGGTAATGGATGGGAACAACGAACCGTGTCTAAAATGTAAATAAATAAATAAATATTTATATATATATATATATATATATATATGTATATATATATAATATGCGGACTTCATACTGCACCCATGCTATCATGCCTCCCCCTTACACATCGTCACGCCCGTGAATCACGCGTGAAGAACATCTCGCGTGACAACACGCGTGAAATCCTGCGCCTAACAAAACGATAGACATCACGCGTGATATCCTGTGCATATACATCACGCAAACACATATGCATATGCATATACATATGTATATGCATATGCATATACAAAACGATAGACATCACGCGTGATATCCTGTGCATATATATATATATGTATATATCAAGAGTACATAATAGAGATGTATGATGTACTATTATGTACTCTATCTCTATCTCTATTATGTACTCTATCTCTATCTCTATTATGTACTCTTGATATATATATATATATTTGCATATATATATGCATAAATGCGCTGTTTTTCTTCGCTTCATCTCACACATTATGACGCATCCAGCTCTCGCACATGGATTTATTCGCTCACTTCATTGATCCACATCGAGGCTTACACGTCGTCTGCTAGAATACAGATCATTGTGACGCGCGTGCATCCAAACACGTGTTATGGCAGCCAGCCAATCACGAGAGTAGCAGATGCCGCAGTGAGCTGTAGAGATGTAGCAGCAGTTTGGCATGAGCCAGCAGCGATTCCCAGTGAATATACGAATGACACGACGATGAAATGAAAACCGCAATGTATTGGTAATCGATTAGTGATAATCGAACGCTATTCAATAGGGCGTATCCGTGTTCGGCGTGTTGTTACTGCCGCCGCCACCCACCAAAGAGCAGTAGCGGTAGTAGTAGCATCGGCGGTAGTAACAGCAGCAGCAGCAGCAGGAGTAGTAGTAGTAGTAGTAGTAGTAGTAGTAGTAGCATCGGCGGTAGTAACAGCAGCAGCAGCAGCAGTAGTAGTAGCATCGGCGGTAGTAACAGCAGCAGCAGCAGCAGGAG